CCATCCCTGGCATGACAGGTGTGCGCCACCATGCCTGGACTCAGTCACCAGCTTAGGGCACTCTGGGAGAGGGGCCAGGATGGCATGCGGGACCAGGGATTGAACCCTGGTCCCTGCACTTGCCAAACCAGGCGCTTAGTCTGCTGCGCTCTCTCACCAGCCCCCATCCATTTCTTAAAAGGTGCAACCCACCCCTTCCCTGCTTCTGGGTCCGTGCTGCAACTGTGCAGCACGCTCTGCCACCCTGATAGGCTGCTGCTCAGTGTGCTCTGAAAAGACACAAGCACAGCGTCAGCCCAAAGCAAGCAGTGGGCTGGGTCCCTTCCACTGTCCAGTATGATGATCTTTCCAGGGCAGGCCAAATAGCGCAGCAGATTAAAGCGGTTCAATCCTGGGCCTGCCACTGGCCCCGCCCCGGGGGCATGCTAAAAAAAAAAACAAAAAACAAAAAACGGCAATAGAGGCTGGGCGTGGTGGCACGTGCTTGTAATCCCGGCTCTTGGGAGGCTGTAAACAGGCAGATGACTACAAGTGTGATCTAGTAGTGAGACTCTGAACACCCTATAGACCCTTCCCTAAAATACAAAAATAAAAAAAAATCTTTCCAAAGGGCCCTTCCTAGCTTTTCTTCTTTTACCTGATTGAATTGTTTTTCCGCTGCTCTAGGCTCATCCCTAATAGGATTTTAAAAGCATAGAGTGCCAAGCGAAGTCTTTTATGAGGTATAAAATTTGAAGGGAAGATTCTCCCTTTTGTTTATTTATTTATTTATTGGTGGAACTGAGGATTGAACTCAGGTCCTCGCACTTGTCAGGCAAGCACTTATTCAACTGAGCTATCTCCCTGACCCAAACATTTTTTTGTTTGTTTGGGTTTTTTGGGGTTTTTTTTTGCATTACCAGGGATTGAACTCAGGTCCTCGCACTTGTCAGGCAAACACTTATTCTACGGAGCCATCTCCCTGGCCCTTTGTTTTTATTTGATACAGGGTCTCACTACGCAGTTCAGACTCATAGTGACCCTCCTGTCTCAGCCTTCCTAGCACTGGGATTATGGAATGCCACCACGTTCACCACATTTGGATACAGGGCGGGCATGGCATGCGGTATCAGGGATCCAACTGCAATCCTTGCACTTGCCAGGCGGTGCTTAGACCACTGAGCTATTGCCCCAGCGCCCCCTCCCCCGATTTTGTTTTTGTAATCGAATTTTGAGTGTACAGTGAGCAAATTCAATAATTCCTTGACCTTGAGCATTGTAAGGAATTCCTATGGTAAGGGAAAAAAGAACAGTTTTGTTGGAGAGGCAGCACTCAGGGCCGGGGAGATAGCTCAGTAGTATAAGCACTTGCCTGGCAAGCACAGGGTCCTGAGTTCAATCCTCAGTACCACACACACAAAAAAATAATAAAGATGATGGAAAGGCAGCACTCCTACAGACTGGACCACTGCCAGTCTTTATTTTCTTTCTCACTGGTAAGAACCTCATTTCGTGGGCAGGCCTGGAGGGGGCTGGGCAGGTCTCCACGTCTCCCTGCTCCGGGCCAGGCACTGTGCGATGGCTGCCCACATTCAGCTGGGCCAGCTCAGGGACAGATTCCTTCTGGCACCAGAGCTGCTCTGCGGGGCCAAGGGCCCCCCTTTAATCAGCTGCTGCTGGGGACTGGGGGTCCTGCAGGCATCAGGACCCTCCAAGGATGGGGTGGGGGACCCCGGAGAATCCACAGCTCCTCAAAATGGCCTATCAGTATGGCCTGGACCCCCACACGCTGGCAGAAAGGGCATCCACTTAGAGGCCTTGGTGCCTATAAGGAAGACCCCAGGGGCTTCAGGGGGCTCCAGCCCTACGTCCTGGCTGGGCAAGGTGGGCATTGGGGCTAACAGCCAGCTGTCCAAGATCAGATCTGACTGTACAGCAGGCATCAGCCTACCCCACAGCTTGCCCTCACTACTGCTGGGGAGACACTGGGGGCTGCTGCTGGGGGCTCTGGACAATATGGGAGGGTCACTGGGCCTTGTGCAGTAGGAAGCCCACATCCCACCAGGGGCTCAGCCTCCCCCGGGCCTCCAAGCCACCTCCATTTGGCGCTGGTTGGAGTGCAATGCTCTCTGGCCTCAGCCGGCCATGGAACCAGACCCCGCCCCCTGGTGCCAGGCCTCCATCCACTCCGTCAGTCTTAAGTGCAGAAGAAGAACCCATATCCTGCAGTTGAGTGCCTGAGGCTCTCGCTCAATATTCCTGCCTCTGGGTGCAGTCCCACCTTGCTGCTGGGGATGCACTCCATCTCCAGCACCCCATCCCCAGGGGACTCAGCAGCAGCCACCTCTATGCCATGGCTGCCTTTTTTTTTTTTTTTTTTTTTTTTTTTTTTTTTTTTTTGCCCCACTTGGGACTTTATTTTATTTATTTTGGCGGAACCAGGGATTGAACTCAGGCCTTTGCCTTTGCCAGGCAAGCGCTTCTTCTACTGAGCCATCTCCCCAAACCCTGATTTTTTTTTTTTTTAACATGGCCAAGGACCACAGGAGAGCTCTTTATTACTGGGGGTGGCTCAGGCACACTTGGTGGACCGGGTCTGCTTCCTCTTTACCATCACGGGCTTCTAGCTGCACAGGATGGCGCTGGCTCTGCGGAAGGCAGCCATGCGCAGGTCTGGGCAGTACTTGTTCTTTCAGATCACGTGGCGGATGCTGCTGAGGGTGGCACGTGCGTTCTTGTTGATGGTAGTGCGCACACAGGAGGCGCAACCCCTGATTTTAAAATAGTGCTGCAAGCTAAATTCTTTGCGGTTGTCTCAACAAGCCTGCAACCATTAAGATACTCTCTAATCAAAGTCCACAGAAAGCAAGTAAATACAGGAATCAAGAATACATCAAATAGGCTGGGGAGATAGCTCAGTGGCATAAGCGCCTACCTAGCAAGCACAAGGTCCTGAGTTTGATCCCCAGTACCACATGCTGTGCTGGCCCCAGAAACGGGCATGGTGGCACATGCCTGTAATCCCAGCACTGAGATAGGAGGATCACTACAAGTCTAGCAAGATGCTATATCAAATGAATAAATTTTTTAAAATGTAAAAAAGAATACAAGGACTGACTAGGTAGCTCAGCAGATTGAATCGCCTGCTTATGCAGACGCAGGGACCAGGTTCGATCCCTAGCGTGCCATGCCAGCCCTACCCCCAGGGCTCGCTCTGATAGCAATTGAGATTGGGCGTGGTGGCATGTGCCTGTAATCCCAGCGCTTGGGAGGCTGAAAACAACAGGATCACTACAAGTCCTATCGATGTAATGAGACCCTGTAGACCCTTCCCTAAAATACAAAAAAAAAAAAAAAAAAAAAAAAAAGAAAAAAAAAAAAAATCTTTCCCAGAACTATGCCAAACCTATCAGTGAACTAATCTAGTAGCCCCACACCCTTGGTCCTAGCATCACACACTTATAGATCCAGCGACCTCTGAAAAGCCCCACCTGAGAGTGCACGAGGCTTTCAGGGGGACATCTAGACACAGGCCATACCAGTAGCCTAGGGACAGAGGGGCCAGGGAAGTGGGACCATGGCGTTCTCACCTCCTCTAAATCCAGGCCCTCACCTTCCTCCGGGGACCCACACAGCCCAGCCAAGCCCACATGGGGTGCAGTTGGACGATAGAGGCATGCTGCTATCCCCAGGGAGCAGGTAGACAGGAACACCACGTACACAGGGTCTCAATGCCGAGGTCCTGGCAGTATTATTGTAGACAGCTAAGTTAGATAAAAATTAATAGGCTGTCAGAGAGGAGACACAAAGACTGGGGTGGAGCAAAGCGAGGAGAGCCAGGCCTCAAGGTGAAGGAGGCGCGACAGTCAGGCTTGCAGGCCTCTCTAGAAACAGCAGCTTGGAATTATGCTCAAGTAGCACCACCTGGTTAGTGAGCTCACCCAGGCTTCCGATGCAGAAGTGGGCAATGAAAACATCTAGATCCATCCTCCTATCCCTTTCTAGGAACGCCTAAGGACGCTGGCCATGGACCCCTGCTGCGTGCCTCATTTCCCTGTTGGAGCAATATTAGCTAAATTTAAGCCAGGCATGGTGGCACAGACCTGTAATTCCATCACTCAGGAGGCTGAGGCACAAGGATTGTTGCACGTTTGAAACCAGCCTGCGCTATAAAGTTAGCTTAAGGCCAATCTGAACTGCACAGGCTACTTTAAGGCCAACCTGAACTGCATAGGCTGACTCACACACACACACTCTCGCACGCACACAATTTATAATCCTATAAAATGATTGTAGTTTGACTCACATTGTACTCGTGTTGTGATTTTGCTTTATACAATATTCTTGGACCTCAACGGTCAGTGGCCACCCACACACACACACACACACACCCTTTGGTCTATCCTACACACACACACACACACACACACACACACACACTTTGGTCTATCTTACACACACCCCTTTGGTCTATCCTTGCTCCCAGACTTAATTCCTTAATATTGCAAGACCATGAACTCGGCATATCCGGCAACAGCCAAGCAAGTACACGCTGAGCCTATCGGCCTCGAGGACTTTATTGGTTATGGCCGGGGAGCTGGAGGTTGATTTCTGTGACCTCAGACCTTGGGGACGTCTGGACTTGGTAGGGCAGCAAGACGCTCCTTTAGTGAAAAACGCTTGGGGGCGATCGCGAGGCCACTTGGAGGCTTCAGAAATGCAGGTTTGGAGCACCCTCTCCTGGAGGAATGCAGTTTGCAAACCCAGACACAGAACCCGGGCGGTTGGGCGCTGGAGCCCCAAGCAATCAGAGGCCGCTCCAGAGTCCTTTGTCCTCCTGACTCTGATTACCTGACGCTGCCTGCTTAACGCGGAAATCCTGGACTCCCGGAAAACACGACTCATGTGAGGGCGGAAGTGCATTTCAGAGGCCTCAGTGAGGGCGGAAGGAGATGTTCTAGCGGAAGTGGCTCGGATAAGGACGGAAAGTAGTGTGCCGGTGGCGAGGTGGCTTGTGTCCCGCCGGGCTGCTGCGCCTTGGGTTGTCGACATGGAACTCAGCGCCACTTCCCTGCGGGACAAGCTGCAGAGGGACCTGGAGGCGGACCACGTGGTGAGTTGAGCCCTCCACCATTCACTCACCCAAGGAAAAGGGGTCCTGTCCTGTGAGCGGGTTCGCATGGTCTCCGTTCTTCTGCCCCGTAGGAAGTGGAGGACACGACTCCGAACCGTTGTGCGACGAGCTTCCGAGTGCTCGTGGTGTCGACTAAATTCGAGGGGAAGCCACTGCTTCAGAGACACCGGTGAGTCCCCGAAACATCTGTGATCACCCCGCCCCCGGCCCACTGCCTCAGCGTCCCCGACCGTGTCCACGCGCTCCCACATCCTGGGGACAGACCACCTCCTGGGAGACTCCTGCGGCCTCTTGGGTCTCCGCATTGGCCCCTGCGATCCAGGCCTCGGTCGGCCATGTCTGAACCCCATCTCTTGCCTCAGGCTGGTGAACGAGTGCCTAGCCGAAGAGCTCCCGCACATACATGCCTTTGAGCAGAAAACCCTCACCCCAGAGCAGTGGACTCGACAGCGTCAGAAATGAGGGATGGAGGCCTGCGCAGCCATTAAATTATGTATTAGGGCCAGCTTTTGTGTCGCTGCGTTGTGTGTGGGCGTCGTCCTGACAGGCTGACTGTGGGGCTTGGCTGTGCTCCGTTTTGTCTCTGCCCTTTGTTTTACCCCCGTCTGGGCCACCTGTCCCCCTATGTCCTTAAGTCCTCTCCAGGACCTGCTTATTAACCCTCTCTGTAGACCCTTCAGGGTCCGTACGTCCGTTGCCCACCCAGTCCCCAGAGAGCTGGGGCTTCCAGCTCTTCATCAGCTTTGAAGATGAAGAGATGAAGCAGGTTGAGGTGACACACACCTGCAATCCCAGCACCCCAGGGCCTGATATGGGAGGCTTGGGAGTTCAAGACCAGCCTGGGCTGTATAACAATAGCAAGTCTGAGACTACCCTGGATTACATAGGATGGTGTCTTTAATGGAATTTTTTAAAAAAATGTTTAGTACAAGGTCTCACTACACAGATCGTAGGGATCCTCCTGTTTTCAGCCTCCCAAGTGCTGGGATTACAGGCGTATGTGACCACGCTGTTTCAGTCACCATCTCACCACGCGCCAGGGGCAGGGCTGTGGCCTGCACAAGGGTCCCTGTGTCTGCCTAAGCAGAGGCTTTAATCTGCTGAGCTATCTGGCCAGCCCTATGAGGATATGTCTTTAAAAAAATAATTTCCATTAGTGAGGAACAGAGCTGGAAAATAAAGCTGACCTGAGGCAGATAGTTAGGTCACTGATAGGCCTCCAACAGTCTTTTTTTTTTTTTTTTTTTTTTTGCTCCGAATGCCTTCAGGGCAGGTTTGGCTGGCTTGAGTTGTGGGGATCGAACCACAACAACCTGAGCCTGACTGCTTTGTTGAAGCAGCCACTTAAAGAACTGAGCTGAGGGGCAGGCCCCCAACCTCCAACCGTCTTAACCATGGGTTGTTCCATGCTAGGAGCGCCGAGACTCAGGGGGAACAGCAGGTGACAAGGTTGAGGCAAGAACCCTTTCCTTGATCACGGAGCTGTGACAGGAAGCCTCCCCCAGCTCATAGATGATCACTTGGAGAGAAGTGACTTGTCCTTCATCATGCGGCTTGTGTGGGAAGTGGGACCAGAGTAGACAGGCAGGGACATTTTCACATCTGTCCTGTGCATTCTTTGGCAGGCCAAAGAGGAGCAGGTAGGAGTGGGCCCTGTGGTGGCACCTACATGGTAGGAACTAGCCCTGCAGTGGCCAAGACCACCATTCCAGCCATTGTGTTGTGCCAGCCCAGGGTATCACCCAGTAAGTTGGGCACAAAACTGAGCCCCACATCCCATCTTGATAGGGTCTGACAGACATGGTCTAGCCAGGTCCTCCTTCCCAGGCAGAACCCACAGGAAGGCCCCCAAGAGGCAGCACTGAGTTACAAGATGAAGGAGGTGTAAGTTATGACTCCGGGTCTGACCCTAAGCCAACCGGTCTCCCACGCATTCACCTGTAAACCAGGGTTAGGCAGTCACATTGGTTCTAAGCTTTTTTCTCAAGAGCTTTTCCCCTGTGGGACTGTAGTTGGAAGATGACCAGGGGATGAGTGCCTCTTGGTTCATTTGCCCATAAGCAGCAGAGCCAGAACAACTGCATTCAACCTGATGTTTTGGGTAACTAGGAAGAGCAGATTTGGGGTAAATAGGGGCCTTTTTGATGCCCAACCAGGGTCTTAAATAGCTCAGACCTGCTAGTCCCAAGTATGGCCTGGGAAATGGAGAGTGAGTTTATAGCCCACACTAGCATGGGTGGGTCCTGCCCAGGAGTCCCGTTCCTATGACCTCAGGCGTTTGGAGTTGTCCACCAGTCTGGATGGGGCTCAGTCTCATCAGGGCTGCCGAGTGGGAGCTCCAGGGCAGATGGGTTTAGCAGACCCCACGTCCCAGTGAAGAGTCACCAGGTCTGAGAGGTACCAGAAAATAAAGCCATTTTATTATTGTTTTTCTCCTCTGCCATGCTGGCTGACTTGGGTGGGTGTGAGTGGCTGGCCTTGGCCAAAGACCCTGCATTATCTATTTGGCCTGGACTGCCTCCTCCAGCCGGTCCAAGCGCTTCTGTAGCTCCTGCACCGTGACTTGCAGCTTCCTCATCTCCTCCTCCAGCCGGGACATGGCATCCTGGGGGGACCCAGTGCTGCATTAGGCCCAGGGCTTCTCTTACCCTGGCGTCTGCTGCATTCCTCCCAAGAACCCAAGAGTCCTGGAGCTTGGACCCTTCTTCCTTGCTTGCTTTTTGTTTCTTGGCTTTTTGAGACAGGATCTCGCTATGTAGTTCAGCCTGGCCTTGAACTGACTATGTAGCTCAGGCTAGCCTTAAACTTGTGGACTTGTAGCAATCCTCCTGCCTCAGCTGCTTGCTGGAGGGCTGGGATTACAGGCATGCACCATCACGCCCAGCTGGGGCTTGGACCCTTCTGTCTCTCAGTGTAAAATCTGTTTTCTAAGGACTCAGGGTCATCCCCTGCTGGCCTCCTAAAAGAGCCCTGACACTGTGTCTGGGTTGCCCCAGTGTCAGCCTTCTTACATAAGGGCATCGAGGGGGTCCGCCTGGCTCTGCCTTGCCCCTCCCGCCCCATCCTAGTTCCCCACCCGCCTCTCACCGCACTAGGGGTGCCACTAGCTTCTGGGGCTGCCTTCCTGCGAGAGCTGTCCAGGCCCCGGTTGACCCGCAGCTCCCGGCTCTTTGGGGGTACGTAGCCGTCCTTGAGAGAGATGAGGAGGGGCCCGGCATCCCGACCACCCAGCCACTCCTCAGCTGTGAGGGCGGGGTCAGGCCCTGCTGTGGGTGGGTACAGGTCCTCCTGGAAGAGGTCCGACTGGGGGCAAGGGCAAGGTCAGTTAGCTGAGTGGTGCTGCCCGCACCGCCCTGCTGCACACCCTCAGGGTTGCTGCCCGGCCAGCCCAGGCAGGGCACGGGGGCGTCACCTTTCTAGGCACGGTCATGGCAATGGGCTCGCACTTCCGCTCGTGTAGCTTGTAGAATCTGTGGAGACAGGCAGGTGAGCAGCGCCCCAGCACAGTGGGGCGGGGACTGAAAGTCAGCGTGGGGGGCAGCGCTGCCCCAGAAGCATGCTGGGCCAGTCTGGGGGTCAGTCACCTGGCAATCTCACACTTGTTCACCTCCAGGCCACGCTTGGGCATGTAGCCCATGCCGCGCTGGGACTCCTTGGAGCTGAACATGGAGAGATAGTGCAGGAACGGGGCCTCGGAGGTGATCTCAAAGTACCGGATGGAGCTGTCACCCTGCAGGCGGTTGATGCAGGGGTGTCAGCACCCGCAGGGCTCCAGCCCTGGTGCTCTTCAGGCCCCTCCCGCCCACCTTCCTGCTCCCAGCACCCCGAGTCACCCACCTTGCCACAGAGGTACACAATATTGGTGTCAGGGTCAAAGAAGGGCAGCAGAACGCCGCTGCTTGTGTCCAGCTCCTGCAGGGACAGTGGCTCCTCCAGGTGCTTCTGTAGACAGCAGGAGGTAACAGTGGGCTGGGCCATGTCAAGTCGGGGCATGACCCTCACTGAGTGTGACTGGGTGAGCGTGACTGCCCCCCACCAACCAGTGGAAATCCTCATCTCACAGATGGGTAAACTGAGGCTGGAGGCCATTCTGCCCGGCAAAAGGCAGGACAAGGGACTCAACCTCCAGCTTGATTCTTGGCCCCAGGGCCTCTGCGTCCTGCCTCAGCACTCACTGTGTCCCACAGCGCCACCTGCCGCTCGCTCATGCGGCTGAAGCCTGTGGTCAGGATCTTGCCTTCTGATACAAACACTGCATGCACCGGCCGGGTCCCTTCATGAGGACGGTCCTTCTCCTGCAAGGAGAGAGCGGTGTTAGGTAGGGCGCCCGAACCTGCCCTGGAGGACAGCTGGGCAAGGCGGAACAGTGTGCAAGCGTCCTGTAGATGTTGGGTGGGCGCAACGGTGGTGCCAGGGCTCGGCGGTCACGGCAACTCACAGCCACAATAGTGCCTTTTCGGGGCTCGATGATGCGCACTCGCTTGTCGCGGCAGGAGGTACAGATGAGGCCACCATCGCGGCTCCAGTCCACACTGTAGATGGTGTCTGGGTGCACATCTGGGCCCAGTGTCAGCACGGCTGCCCCAGTACCAACGTCCCACACCAGGATCACGTTGTCACATCCTGCACAGTCACCAGTGTCAGCAAGGAGCCGGGGCCATGAGCCTCCCGCCCTCGTGTGTGCCAGCCACCGTCCCCTGCACCCTTGCAGCACCTGCACTGAGCAGCACGTTCTGAGCTGTGGGGTGCCATGCCACGATGCCAACGCGCTTAGTGTGACCCTCCAGGGTGACAACGGGCTCCCTCAGAGGCACCACCAGACCCCCATCTGGGATCTCCCATACCTGCAGGGAACAGTGAGTGAGTCCTCAGGGCTTCCGATCCACTGTGGATGATGACCCCAGCCCCGAGGCCCCCCAACACTCACCATGACTGTGCAGTCCTCAGAGCCGCTGGCAATGACGTTGTCATTGTGCGGGCACCAGGCAATATCCAGCACAGGGGCTGTATGGCCACAGACCATAGGCACATTCTTGTCCACTCGTCCAGTCTAGAAGGCACAGCAGGGCCTTTGGCAGAGCGGCTTTGACCCTCCAAACCCAGTCCAGCTGCCCCACACCCCGAGGGAGGGACGTGGAGGCAGGCCAGGGCCTGGGGTGCACTGGGGAGGGTTTGTCCTCTGTCCCAAGCCCTGAGGAGCAGAGTGGGGTGTGCCATGGTGCCACGGTGTGGGAGGCCCTGGCCGAGACCCTGCCCATCTCTGCCTCACTCTACCACCACCCTGCTCTTCTGAGTGGGGCCTCCAGGGGCACATCAGGCCTGTTCCTGCATGCTCACAGGTGGAAGGCCACAGTTCTCCAGGGAAGTGTGAAGAAGGGGTGGGTGGGTGGGTGCGTGGGCATGCACATGTGGGATTCCATTGGCTGAGTGGAGAGTAGTGGGGCAGTCTGCCATAACTGGCCCCAGACATGGGCAGAGGTTTGGAAATGGCCTCTTCTAGCGTGGCTGCTTCCGCAGGGCTGGTGTGAGAGCGTGCGGGGTGAGGGCCCAGCTCTCACCCCACCAACCACTTCCTCTTCTCTTTGCTTCCATCGGCCCTTTTAAGGTAACAACTTAGGGCCTGTCTCCCCTTCCTGTCTCAACCTCCAAAGGGCACAGGAGCGCTGGGGGAAGCTGCTGGGTGTGGGGCTCCTGCCCCACCTGTGAGCTGGGCGCCCACCCAGGCCCTGCCCAGGGCACAAAGCTCCCAGCTGGACTCTGGAGGGCCTAGCCTGGTGGCCCTCAGGTCCCCCTCAGCTCCAGCCTGCACACGAGCTCTGCACATAGGAACAGGAGGGCACAGAAGGTAAACTGGCCCAGCTCTGCTCCTCAGGCACGCAGAGGCTTGGTGACAGCCACCTACTCGAGATGCCCTGGAGCCAAGGATGGCATAGGCCCCCTAGGGAGGACAAGCTGCTGTCCCCAGGATCCTGGAGGCTCACCTTGCTCAGGGGCAGCACCAGGAAGGCCCCTCCCCCACTGGCCTCGCAGATCAGGGCCACGAACTTGGGGTTGACAGCGCAGAAGCCGCTGTCCCAGGTGGTCTGGGAGACACGCACATCCTCGTAGCACTGGTCCGCCTTGGCTGGCTGGCCAAACACGTGGCGGAACTTGCTGGAGCGGACCACCTGCCGGCTCATCCTGGGGGCACAGGAGGCATCTGAGCCCTTCCTGTCCCCAGCCCCCTCACCCATCTGGGCCCAGCTCCATGTCGGGGTGCCCTCATGCTCCTTCCCCGCTCTGCCTCCCACACCCCCGGCCCCTGGAGCTTCCCTGAGGATGCTGCTGCTGATTCCCTGGCTCTTGAATGTGAAGCGTTTCCCTTCCAGTGGTTCAGACACAGGGACACGGGCCATCAGCACAGATGGCCCGAAGGTGGCTCCTCAGCTCCGGACAGTGTCCAGAGCCCACATCCCTCACCCACCCAGGGAGACTGCCACGGCCAGGGAGGGAGGGAGGCAGCGGCAGGGTGGCTTCCCTGGGAGGTCCTGGGCGTCAGAAGCAGCGATGGCTCAGGTCCCAGTATTTCCTCCCCACTCCTCTGCCTCTCGCCTCTGCTCAGAAGAAGCAGGTGCCCTTAATAAGCGCCATCTCCACCCCCGCTGTAACTGCACACAGGAAGGGAGAAGCCCACGCCAAGTCTCTGTCCAGCTGGGATCCTTTCCCCCCAGTGCTGAGCAGAGCACGAGCGAGGCAGAGGGGGTCGCCTCTGATGCCCAGCTGCACACCTTCCTGCTCATCGAGGGCCCTGCGCCGCCATGCGAGGGCACCTTCCCCACCCAAAGCCTCTGCCACCACCCAGCCTCACCCTCCTGCTCTGCACCCAGGCCTAGCCCCCTCTTGGGTGCTCCAGCCGGCCCTGGCCACTCCCGGATCCCCACGAGGCGCCCAGGTCTGCCTGCCCAGAAGCAGGTGAGGAGCGCCGGTGCAAAACCCCGGGCTCCAGGAAGGCCGCCTGGCCCAGGTAAGCCCGGAGAGGGACGCCCTGGACCCTGGGTGGGCGCCCAGGAGGCCACCGCCCCGCCCGCCGCCTCCCCCACCCAGGTACCAGGCCCGGAAACCACGGAAAGGGGAACTTGCTCTTTTCTTATGTTGCTGTCAACCCCTTCCTGTACCCAAGCCTAGGGCAGCTGCTCCGTCCCCACCCGGCCTCGGCCTCCGCCGACCATTCGGGGAACTCGCGCCCGCGGCGGCCCCGGCGCGTGCCCACCTCCATCTTGGGCGCCGCGGCCCTCGGCCCGCACCCGGGGTCCCCGTTCCCCTCCGCGGCCGCTCACGCGCCTCGGCCCGGCCCTCCCGCGGGGTGACCCGCAGAGGTGGCCCTGACAGCCGCCGCCCGGCACGCGGCCCACAGGTGGTCGTGCCTGCGGGGCTCAGCGCTCGGGGACCCAGCCCTACCTGCTGCCGGAGGTGCGCGCCCCCCGCAACCGGAGGGGCCGGGAGGAGGAAGGAGCCGAGGAGCGGAGGCCAGCGGCCGAGGATGCTGTCAAGACAATGAATGAGAAGCCCGAGCGCCGCCTCCCGGGGTGGCAGCGCCCCTTCGGGGCGGAGCTCCGGGCCGGCCCCGCCCCTCGCCGCCTGGCCCGGCTCCCTGCCTCGCTCCGGCAGCCCCGCACAGGTGCGGTCCTCGCCTCGGATCTGCTCCTCCGTCCCCGTGTCACCGGGGGGCAGCCTCCCGGGCTCCAGGGGCGGACTGGATGGAGGATGGTGGGAGAGGCCTCGGGGTGGCTCCAGCGTCACCGCGCGTCCCAGGACTCAGGTCTTCACCGGGGCGCCCCTGTGCCCCCTACTCCCCAGAGTGGAGGCAAGGAACAAACGCCACCGGGTGCCAGGGGTCACCCCCACTCTTGGGTTCCCGGGGGTGCAGAGCACGGAGAGCGGAAAAGGCCTTCTACACAAGCAGGCTGTCGAGAGGGTGACTCTTGGCTGTCACCTCCCGGGAGAGACCTTGGCCGGGTTGCTTAACCTCTCTCGTCCTGTTCCCCCTCTGCCACCACCTGGCTGTGTGACCTGGGCAACAGGTCTACCTCTCTGAACCTGCGTTTCCTCACCCATAACTAGGGACAAATAGGATTTGTCTTGCCCGCTCACAAGGTTGTGAGGCTCGCCTGAGACAAGGTGTGGAGAAGCCCTGCAAAGTAGTCAGCTGTGGAAAACTTCAGGGTTGAATTACCCTGAGCCGCTGGGCCTGGCCTGCCGGGCAGCCAGGTCTGTGGCGCACGGTCTCCAGCGACAGGAATAACAGCTGTTGTTCACTGACCAGGCTACTGTTCTAGACACTCAAAGACACTAGGCGCACACTTAAATCCTCCCAACCCCGCCCCAGGTAGCAGACGCTATCTCCACTTGACACTGGAGGAAACTGAGGCACGCACTGCCTTCAACCCTGGAGGGCTCACGCCCACAGAGAAGACCTGAAAACCCAGACGCGCCCAGCCTGAGGGTGGGGATGCCAGGCAGAAGCCACTGCCTGCAGAGACCAGGGGGCTACAGCCAGGGAGGGCTGCAGGTGGGAGGGCTGGAAAGCCGGGCGCAGCCTGAGGATTAGCTCTGTGGTGGGCAGGAAGTCACTGCCATCCACCCAGCTTTGCTGGAGAAAGGCTGTCACCTCTGAGAGTGCTGGGAGGTCCTTTGCCTCCTCCCCTGCTACTGCCAGCCAGGCCTAACCTGTTTTTGCTTGCCTATGTGTGTGGAACTAAATTTAGCTAGTTTATATTTTGGTACAGGAATCGAACTCAGGGCCATGCACTTGCCAAGCAGGTGTTGTGCCGCTGAACTACAGCCCTGTCTTATTTTATTTTTTGAGGTAGGGTCTTGTGTATAGTTTAGGCTGATCTTAAATGAACTGTGTAGCTGAGAGGCCTGGAACTTGTGGCAGTCCTCCTGCCTCAGCCTCCCAAGTGCTGGGATCACAGGTGTGCGCCACCATACCCAGTCCTCCCAGCCCTTTAAAATAATTTTTTTTTCCTGTATTTAGGACAAGGTCTACAGGATTTCACTACATAGATCAGCCACCTGACCCCCCACCATGCTCCACTACCTCTTTAGGGTCAGACCCACCCAAGAGAGTCCTGTTTTCATAGTAATCCTCCTGTTTTCAGCCTCCCAGGCACTGGGATTACAGGCACACGCCACAGCCCAGTCTCAATCACCATCTCAGCATACCCTGTGGGCAGGGCCGGCACAGCACACTGGGGATCAAACCCCGGCCCCTGCACTCTGCCTAATTGTGCCTTTAGTCTATTGAGCTATCAGGCCAGCCCTTCTTTTTTAATTTTTAAATTTTTATTTGTTGAGACAGGATCCCGCTATGTAGCCCAGCCTGGCCTCAAACTTGAAGTGAAGGGGCTGGGGAGATAGCTCAGTATAAGTGAAGGGGCTGGGGAGATAGCTCAGTATAATAAGTGCTTGCCTGGCAAGCACAAGGGTCTGCGTTCAATCCCCAGTTCTGAAAAAAAAAAAAAAAAAAACAACAACAACTTGAAGTGATCCTCGTGTCTCAGCCTCCTGAGTACTTGGATTTTAGGCATGTGTCACCAGGTACAACTAAGGTTTTTTGTTTGTTTGTTTGTTTGTTTGTTTGAGACAGGGTTCTGCTAAGTGACTAAGTTCCCCAGACTAGCCTTGAACTTGGTATCTTCCTGCCTTAGCCTCCCAGAGTGTTGGGGCTACAGGTGTTCACCGCCATGCTGAGCATCTCAACATTGCCTCTTTATTTGTAGCAACACCTGGATTTTTTTGGGGGGAGGAGAGGGTATTCAACCCTTCGACCCAGGCAACCTGGAAGGCATAAGAAGGGACTCAGGGTAGCCATGTGGCCCAGCTTCCTCAGCCAAAGCAGCCCTTTTGCGGTGGCTCAGGCACGTTGCTCACTTCAAGTCTGTCTAGTCAGAAGCAGGCTCATCTTGGGGCTGCTGGGAAAAACAAGCTCTCTTTCCACTGGCGTTAGTAGGCTGGCCGTGAACTCGTGGAGATCCTCCTGCCGCAGCCTCCCAGAGTGCTGGCCTTACAGGCGCGGGACACCATGCTCGCTTTTGTTACATGAAGTAGCAGCTTCCTTTTCCATGTAAACCAGTGAGATTGGGTTAGGTTTCTGGCACTTTCCAGCTGAAAAAGTCCTGCTCCCTCTGCCCTGGAGGGAGATGGAGCCAGAGCCCTGGTGGCCTAAAATGTAGGGACTAAGTCCACATTTCCAGCAGGGCTCCCAGGACTCTCTCTCGGGTGGGTCTGACCCTAAAGAGGCAGAGGAGCATGATGGAGGTGAGGTGGCCTGGAGAATTCTGTCCAGCACAGAAGGCTCGTGTGGGGCTCGCTTTATACAGGACGAGAATAAATCAGTACAGCATCTACGAAATGCCAGGCGCAGCCGGGCGCACTGGCCAGCTTCCCCCGCCCCAGCTGTCCTTGGGGAGCCACTCCCACTTGCAGTTTTCTGCCGTTCCTGCCGGCAGAGCTCTTGCTTAGCCAGCAGAGAGACTGTTATTTTCCATCTCCATCTCCCTTCTCACCCTCCCTGGGTGTCCCAGACAGCGTGCTGGCCAGAGGCAAATTAGATTCACCTGTCCGGATCGGGGCTGGTGACCCGGGCCAGGCCAACAACAGCCTGAGACCTAACTCCACACCTTTTGTTGGAGCTTTCTGCTGGGGGACTGAGGACACAGGCATCTAGGCTGGGCTTGGCGGAGGGCACATACCTGGAATCCCAGCACTGCAGAAGCTGAGGCTGAGGCAGGAAGATCACTGTGAGTTCAAGCCCAGCCTGGGCTACAAAGTGAACTCAAGGGCAGCCTGAGCTGCATAGGGAGACCCTGTCTCAAAAAGACAAAAAAAAGGGGGGGGGCACCAGTGGTCTTCATTCCCTAGTTTGTTCCCAGGTTTAAGCACACGTACACACACAGTCCCCTCTGCCCTTCCATAGTCTCTAACCTCAGATCCAGGCCACCATTGCTGTGTTTTCTGTCACTATAAATTAGTTTAGCATGTTCTAGAATGTTCTATATTAAGGAACTCATCAGAAGGGGTCTGGTTTTTTTTTGGTTTTTTTTTTTCACTGAGCATGTGTTTTTCACTGTGCATGTTTTGAGATTCACTGAGGTTATATCGGATAAGGATCTTTGCCCAACCATGATATCATTACGTAATGCACGATTACACCAACCGTATTCAGCAGTAGTTTCCTATTTTCACCTAATACACAGCTTATATTCACATGTACATGATTGGCAGAAAAAGAAAAAAACCTACCCATCATCAGTCTTCTTGGAGCTCCATCCCCAGACCTCCTCTTTTCATTGTGAAATTGGATCTCATTATGTCATTAAATTGCCCAGGCTGGTCTAGAACTTGCAGTCGTCTGCCTCAGCCTCCCAGGGTGCTGGGTTTACGTGTGCACCACCACGCCCGGCAAAGGGTTACATTTCTATGGGGTCTTTTGGGGGGGAGGGGGACTGGGTTTCACTGTGTTGCCCAGGCTGGTCTCAGACATACAATCTCCCACCTCAGCCTCCTGAGTAGCAGCGATGACCGAAGCGTGTCACTGAACCCAGCTTCTTAAACTGGGCCTTTGTATTTATCCAGGAGAAAAAGGGAAGAGAAAGCAAAGCCATTCTAATAAAGGCAGAAAAAAAAGTTAGGATGAGGCCGGGGACACAGCTCAGTAGAATAAGCGCTTGCCTGGCAAGCACAAGGTCCTGAGTTCAATCGCTGATACCACACAAAAAAAAGAAGTTAGGATACTCTAGGGAAATGTGAACGCTACCCCAGGACTAGAGGACAGTGACTTAGTCCAGTGCAGAGGCCAGAGGTCAGAAGGTGGCCAGAGGCAGATGGCGAGTGTTATGATTTGTGTCTAGTTGTCCCCCCAAAGCCTCGTGTGGTCATGGGGCAGCTTCTGGAGTTGGTGATTGATATTCTCTCTCTTTTTGTATTGTAGGGAAGGGTCTACATGATGTTCAGGATCTCGCTACTAGATCGGACTCCTAGTGGTCCGCCTGTTTATCGCCTCCCAAGAGCTGGGATTACAGCGCCACCACGCCCAGTCTCAGTTGCTGTTTCCCTTGCCGGGGTGGAACGCCCAGCCCCCCGGGCCTGCTTGCAGGCAGGTGCTGTAATTCGCTGAGCTATTTGGCTGGCCCTGGTGATTGATTCTAGAGCTAGTGCTAGAATTGTGGGTGTGGGTGCTGCACCCGCCCCAGGGCAGGTAATCTGCATTACAATGTAAGGAGGGCAAAGAGGCTGGCTACCTGCTGCAGCTGCTGCCCCTCCCTTTGCTCTCTGCTGTCCCCCCCATGAGCTGCTGCCCTCTGCCATGTGTCGCTGTGCCTTGGAGCCAGCTGAGTATGGACTGAAACCTCCACAAACTGTGAGCTAAATAAACCTTTTCTTTCTTTCTTCATTTTTGGGTGTCGGTATTTTGTCTCATTAATGAGAGAAAAATAACGGAGACACCGAGAGACCCCAACGAGGGCACCTGTCAGCAGCAA